ACACACGCACACACACACACACAACCTCCTGATCACTCAGAAACAGTCTGCCACAGTCATGTTTTTTTTTTAGTGTATAGCGAATATGATGACAAAAAAAAAAACCAAAAAAAAAAACCGAGCAGTGTAACAACAACAGCCCCGCCCCCCTCTTCGCCGCTTCTCCAGCAGCATGACGTCCACACAACGCAGACTACTGAAGCCCTGGTCCAGAGGGTTGGCCCAGCTATATAGCGCTGGGCCTGGCCAGGAAGCCCTCGGCCTCTGATCAGGACCATGGGATCTAGTATCCGATCGACGGCCCTGATCGCAGGCCCAAGTCCTGGACCAGTGGCCTGGCCTCAAACCGGCCTGCCTGGGTCCCTACCGGACTTCCAGGCAATCCTGCTGATGCAGCAGGGACTCTCCCACTACGGATGGATACGAACCTGGCATACCTGGGTGTCAACAAGGTCCTCAGGTCCGGACAGACACAGGTCTGTTCGGACTCTGTGAAAAGTCCGAAACGACATCACTGGGAACATGCAAAAATAGACCAGTCCAAGAACTCAGCAAAAATAAATAAATAAATAAACAACGCTACAAAAAAGAATGCACTCGTGGACCAAAACATGGGCCAGGCCTGAAAATGGTCGTGGGCTTCTGGCCACACAGCCTGGGGCCCCCCAGCAACCGCCGGGCCCGAAAATAGCGCCCGTGTACAGGCCTCAGCATGCCAGATCCGGGAGAGATGTACAATCAGCATCTGAACCCAGCGGTGGCAGATGAGAGCAAAGGGTTGGCTGAGACGTACTTTGGGTGGGATTGCTACCTTAGTAGAAGAAGGGGGGGGGAAGTAGGTCTTTCCCGTGTCGGGACTGATAGGGAGAGCTTGTGATCAGAGTTGTCCCTCTTGGCGGAGGCAGCATGTGGACAGGGGGAGAGGGAGGGGAGGGGAGGGGGTTGGGTGGGGGGGGGGGGGGGGGGGGGGGGGGGGGGGGGGGGGAGGGGAAGAGGGGAAATATTCAGCTTCTTATTCGTTCTCCTCTCATGAGTTGACGAGTGCGGATGGTCTAGTATGAGAGAGCTCTACTCTGCAGGGGCATCACAAGGTGGGAGGTGAATGCCCTGGAGGGAGTAGGGACAGATTGTGAGAGATGCTTTTTCTGGGGCTGGGGGGGATGTATGGGGTCGCATCATACCCTAGCGGTGGCAGATAAAGGTAAGCGGTCGACAGAAGCATTCTTTAGGTGGGAATTGGATACTTATGTGGGAACGAGGGAAGGAGGAGGGTCTGTCCAAAGTTGAGGCGGAGGAGGGCTGTGCTTTTTGGTGGAGGCAACGCAAGGCAGGGGGAGACGGAGGAAGGGCGGGAGGGGGTGGGGGGGGGATTTCTACTCTTCAACATCCGGCTCATCATCATCTTTGGTCTTTTCAGGATTCTACGGAAGTTTGGTTCACAATTTCAGGAGTCAGTACTGTTATAGTTTTATTCAGATATAGCTGTGCATGTTCAGAGGTCTAGGTTAGTCGATGCCAGAACGACGCTGGCCGGTGCTGGGGCCTTGCCCTGTAACCTGTGTATGCAGAGGCGTGAGGCCTTGTAGAAAGATCTGGGGATAGCCGAGGGTGGAAGGAAATCCAGCAATTGACGGGGGTTACTGCCAGGTCGACGATGGTCGGAGCTGGGGCGGGTCGCGCTCCCCTGTAACCTATTCCGATTTGGGGTGTGACACCAGGTACAGGCCTGGCAGAGTAGACAGCATAGTTAGGTTTGGATTTGGCTGGGTTGATAGGGATCCCTGGAATGAGGGTTGGATAGAAGTAGAGTTCTGAGCTGGTCAAGCAGGTAAAGCCTCGAGACATTCCTAATCATCCTAATCATCTTAACCATCATCCAATCAGCATCAACTTTCACTATTTTATTCTCATTATAAGGGATGCTGGGCCCGTTTCCCAGCACGTGCTACTCCTACGATAGATAGGAGCGTGTGCTTAAAAGAAAAGAAGAAGAAAAAAAGGGACGGTGGTGATCCTAGCCCCTTCCTTAAGTGAGACCTGAGTCTCTGGTTCTTCAGAGAGGAGTGGTGCAATGGAGTGGGCCACGCTCGGCAAAACCCCATGAGGAGAGAGAGAGAGAGAGAGAGAGAGAGAGAGAGAGAGAGAGAGAGAGAGAGAGAGAGTATCCAATGTCGCTCCTACTGTACGGCGCCCAGCGCCCAGCCTACTGTACCCAACCTATGTATCCTATCTACATTCGTGCAACAGGCTCACTTCGCCGTCGAAGACCAATGTACATGACGTCAACACCAATGCCGACCTCCCACATACACCAGATACGTTCTCTCGTCTCCCCTCATCAGACCCTGTCCACCCACACCTGTGCCTCCTTCCCTGAAGACCACTGTCGCCTCATCACCTGACCGCGCCCCTGCAGCCCGACTATGGCCGCTTGGTGGCCCACTGCCCTGCAGCGCCCCACACCTCTTAGTGCTCGCGCGCCCCCGGCCAGCAGCGCCCATGCAGATGCTTGCACAGCAGCGTATCCGCATTGCCAACTTAGGCCAGAATGGCTTCCTCTGGCCAGCCTCTGGCTTTATGGAAGCTGCGGCCCCTTCCCTGTGGCTGCGTGGGCCTGACCGATGAAGTTTCCAGTCTGCGCCCATGCCCAACTTACAGTTAAGGGCCTGGGCCCTTTTTGGTTGGGCACCTACGGATAGCCTCCAGGCTCTAAGTGTTCTAGTTGGCCTGCGGGGTAGTTGTGACGACAATGCTGCATTCTCATTGGCCTGCGGTCACTTCATGATGTGTAGGTCTCACACTGCGTGTGTGCCCAGCGCGCAACCACCTGCGTCCTGGGCTCAACTGCCTGATGCAGCTGCTGCTTCTGGAGGTAGCCAGGGAGAGGCCCAGGTTGCACTTCAACCAACTGGTGCACTGCAACTGTCTGATACCCACATTGGAAAATGGTGAGATAAGGGCCTCTCATGGATATTCAGGCCCGCCTTCGCTTAGGGCGGGCACGAGGCTTGCTGGGGACCACAGTCCAGAACTTGTGCATGTTGGCTAGGGCCCTATGAGGACGCATTCCTCACAATGATCAAATGTTTATAAAAAAAAAATCAATCTTGTGAAACACACTTCCTTCCGTAGGTACAATTCCACAGGTGTGCAAATGCACACCACCTGTTCCATTTTTCCTCCTTCCCCCCCYCCCCCCCCCCCTCTTCTTGTTGAATGCTCTCACCTGTTCAATGCGTTGCCGAACACTTTCTCCTTCCCTCTGCAAGTCCATAATCCGCAACAAGCTGCAAGAGATCTCAGAAAAACAAAACGCAGGCAATTTTTTTGTCAGAGACGCGTGTTATTGATGGAGGCCGGGCCCCACTGAACCATACCAACACCGCACATGTAGTGAGTGGTGCGGCGAGGAAGGTACATGCTCCTTTCTTTTTTTTTTTTAACATGCTCCATTTTGCACAGGTAGTTTGTTCGAAAATCTGACAGTCACAACTCAAATGAGACGATACGGTGGGTCCGTCGAAGGGAAAGATAGTGAGAAGGTGTGCCAAGTAATTGCAGCGGCGAGAGGCTGTGGAACCGTTGCTGGAGTATGTGTAGGACCTGTAGCGAATTTTTCACCACAGGCCCTACTCGGACGTAATTTTGCAGTTTCTTTTTCTTTATTTATTATTTTGTCTTTATTTATTTTTGCTGTGGCGGCGCCGATAGCACCGTGTGGTACCCAAGGGAACACCATACGGCGAATGGTCACATAGGACACAGTAGCAGTGGATTCATCCACCGGCCAATACATACAGGGATGAATTGGGAGTGTTACTCCTCTCAACCTGAGCAGCAGGACAGATGGGTTGGGCGTCGGAGTGTTGTGCTCGACGCGTGAAGGTGTTTCAATTGCTGTGATATGTAACGTCCAAAGAAGCACCTTTTGTTGTATATGACGCACGAAGAGCGGCTTGATCGACCTCGCAGTTGAGCTTGGGATGCGATCGAGTCGCACCACTGGCAATTATTGCTAGTGTGCACTTATTTTCATTGAGCTTACTTCTTTTACCGTTCTTTTACTGTTCTTTTACTGTTCTTTACTTTCTTGTTCTAAGCCCGCTGATACTCCAGCGTTGGTTACACAGCAATCGCGGCGCGATACTTGGGCAACTCTCATATCTCTCTCCTCGCGGAGGGAAGTGACGCAATCACTAGGGAAAGGGCATGTGTGGACATTCATCTCCACATCGAACTATCTACACGGTGCATAGCGATGGCACGATGACGAATCGGCGGATCGCGATACACGGGCAACTCTCATATCTCTCTCCCCTCGCGGAGGGAAGTGATGTGATCACTAAGAAGAGCGCGGATGTAAGACCTTCAGCTTGACGTTGAATGGTCCACACAGTGCGTGCTGATGGTGTGAATTGGCCGGCGAAGGTGAGAATCGGCTGAGGGCTGTACAGCTAACCCATACAGCGCCAAAGGGTTTTGTGGCCAGTTGTTTGAGAAGGCACTTCACACTTTCCCGCGCAAACACGTGGCAAGATTTGGAAACTTGAGGCTGCACTCGTAGGAAGTACTTGATAGTACTAGGTAGTTCGTAGACTACATTAGGCTACAGTACTGCGAGTTCATCCTTGTTTGCCGGCATGGCACCAGGAGGTATGCCAGGCAGGGGTTGGAGGCAAGGACAGGTGGGAAGAAGTAGCGATTCTCGAGTCCGTTTTCGCGGTTCTCTTGGCTCATATCTGCTTTCTCTTTATGTCGAATTTCATTGGACTTGATCGCAAGATCATTGTGTGTGTTTTTCTCACCCCCATATACTAATAACGAGGAAGAAGGAAGAAGGAAGAAGGAAGAAGGAAGAAGGAAGAAGGAAGAAGGAAGAAGAAGAAGATGATCGGAAAAGACGACGAAGAAGAAGAAGACGATCGGAAAAGACGACGAAGAAGAAGAAGAAGAAAGAAGATCGAAAAAGAAAAAGGAAAGAAGAAGAAGAAGAAGAAGAAGAAGAAGAAGAAGAAGAAGAAGAAGAAGAAGAAAGAAGAAAGAAGAAGAAGAAGAAAGAAGAAAGAAGAAGAAGGAAGAAGAAGAAGTAAGTAGAAAAAGGAAGAAGAAGAAGGAAGAAGAAGAAGGAAGAAGAAAAAGGAAGAAGAAGAAGAAGAAGGAAGAAGAAGAAGAATAAGAAGAAGAAAGAAGAAGAATAAGAAAGAAGACGAAAGAAGAATCAAACCTTGCTGCCTCTTGTCGAGCACAGATCAGTGCTTGGGCCTTTTCCAAAGCTGTAATATTTATTCGAGCCTCGTCCACTGCTTCCAGCTTTGCAAGCTCCATTGTGAGTCTGTACAGATCTCACATTTATCATGTTTTATGATTCATAAATAAATTTGTCAGTGATAAACATGCGAAATTCCAATTGTTTATCTCTAATAATCTCTGATCTCTATCTCTTATCTCTTTGTCCCTTAAATTAACGACTGGGTCTCTGGTGACAATAGGTGGTTTGGAAAGAGAAATCCCTTAAGCTAAGATCGAATCTTTGTTGATGAGAACAGGTGGTTCCGGGAGGAACCCGTGGACTTCCTCTTTGCTTTCAGTGGTTTTCCAGGGTCCGTTTCAGTGTTGAACGGTACATACATGTAGCTGCAGAAAAAAAAGGTCACGGGTTCAAATCCTGAGTCCTATGCACAACGGCAGATGACATACATGCCTCTTTGCTTTCAGTGGTTTTCCAGGGTCCGTTTCAGGACCTGTCTCTTATACACATCTAGATGTGTATAAGAGACAGGTTACATGTAGCTGCAGAAAAAAAAGGTCACGGGTTCAAATCCTGAGTCCTATGCACAACGGCAGATGACATACATGCCTCTTTGCTTTCAGTGGTTTTCCAGGGTCCGTTTCAGGACACCAGTGCACAGAAAATGACACACACCCAATCAATGCTGGAGCCTGCAAGATCTCTCTCTCCTGATCAGGACAAAGCCTGGTGTTGCTGTCCAGGCCCTGACATATGTGAGCTAATGGAGAGAGAGAGAGAGAGAGAGAGAGAGAGAGAGAGAGAGAGAGAGAGAGAGAGAGAGAGAGATTTCGTCCAGAGAGAGAGAGAGTTGCAGTTCTTTCTTCCATTACCAAAATGGACCTTCAAAACCATTCACATTCGTAGTGCCTTACCTTGTATGGAGGGCAGTAGGTGAAGCCCAGGCTTGCTGTACAGGTTGGATGCTCTCCGTGTGTTCCTTCCTCTTTTCACTGTGGTGACCATGCCGGAATCTCAACCGCTTCTTGGCTTTTCACACGAACACAAGCCAATGTAGGTGGGATAGGGTTCCAAACAGCCAGATTAAGTGAGATAAGAAGGGGGAAAAAAACAAGGAGAAGGGACAAAGGAGGTTGAAAAAACTCCAAAAAAGTCAACAAATGCTGCATACCCGCGCACCCCCTCTAGTAGAGGTCGCTGGTTAAAAAAAAAAAAAAAAAAAAAAAAAGGGTTAACACAACTTAACAGTTTAATTAACAATGTCGGATGTCCTTCTTTCTTTTGTGAACTTTTTCTCTTCATTTTATTTTCATTTTTCGGAGAGAGAGAAAGCGTCAATCCATTTCATTTGTGGAGAAAGTAGTGTGCATGAGCTATGCATATGAATTTCGTATCATTCACAAAGCGCTGACAAGCACCCGTGCTTTCATTCCAAAACTGAACGCAGATCAACACTGCGTATTGGTGTTAGGAAAAAAAAGAAAAAAAGCTTATTGGTGGAGAGCTGCACCGGTGGAAACCAGGTCCAGGGTCCCATGTACACAAACTCATTTTGAAGTTTCACGCAACTGAAATGAGGTTCTTTGTCTTTGTACTCAGTATGGGCACCTGAGCCGCCCACGCGTCTGACACCTCAAATTCTGGAGGCGCGAAACGAAAACGCAGCCGCCGATTGAATTTATCAACGGCGGGCCCAGCGTTTGGCGTTTCGGCCTCGTTTTGTTGTGGCAACAAGTTTCGGACTGCAAGGCTTGGGCCTACTTGTGGTTTAAGAAAACGAACGAGGTTTTCGTGAGGCTAGAGCCTAGAGGATGGTACCCACACCGTCAGTGAGCGTAAATGATAACCCATCATCATAAACTTTGCCCGCAAGGCGGCGCAAGCATCTTGCCAATCTGGAACCCATTCGGACACATTCAGACCCTATATATCTGGATGTGTCCACTGTACGGGCCTGAAGCCATATGGGTCCAGAATCACCAGATGGGTCCGCATGGGTCCAAATGGGGTCCAAATGAGTCCGAATGGATCCAAATATGTCTGGATGGGTCTGAATGAGTCCGAATGGCTCCTGAGGTGGCCTTGGACCCATGTGGAAACCTGGTGGTGGACCCATTCAAACCCATTCCGATCCATTCGGACCCGTCGAGACCCATCTGAAGATTCTGGACCTGTACGACCCTCGGGCCCGTACAACGGACCCACCAGAGAGATCGTTTTGCACGAAGAACTCAGTACAAATTGGCCTGGATTTTCCCTGGCTAGACTGTCAGAAACTGGTACAGCACCTGTCCTTATTAGGCTTGGTAGGTCAGGTCCTGAGGTATGGTTGTTTTAAGGAGACGCAAGAGAGAAACATCAGTCTTCACTGAGAGCGAAACAAGGTATAGACGATCCACGAGCATGGCTTTGGCTGGTTGACAGCTGAGTAGAGCGAAGGATCTGTTTGCCCGCTCCACTTTTTTTTTTAAACAACTGCTCCAGTCTATTCGTGGGGAGCACGTGCTGGGAACCGGGCCCAGCGTCCCATATCAAATTGTACAGATCATTGAGAACATTTGAGAACATTTGAGATCATTTGAGATCATTTGAGATACCGGGGCCATTACCCGGCTTCGACTGAGATCAGTCTGTGAATATCTAACGACTTAATAAGGAACTACACATGCAATAGCCTGCACAGAGGTCCTACGAAAGCTCACAACTTCTAAGTTCTAACACTTATCTTAATTGGAGTACGAAGCCGGAATCTCACCAACCCAATGTGTAGTTAGAGTCCTGACATCGGTCCAGACATCCAGACCATACCGGATCGATCCAGACCAAAAGCCAGACACGTCTGCATCGGTCCAGACATCCAGAAAACCGGACAGGCACCAGACATCCAGAAAACCGGACAGGCACCGGACATCCAGACCATATCAGCCCTGCACCGTCCGGATGGGTTTCAGGGACCCCTGAAACGTCTGGATTGCGATTTTTTTTCAAAAAAGAAAAAAGAAAAAGAGAGAAAGAGATGCAAAAAGACTAAAAAGTTGAAAATATTCCCAAGAAATGAGACAAATCACGAACTCATCCCTCCTCTGTTATGATTTTGGTTGTCCGTTGTCTGAAGACCAACACTCACTCACATAAACTCCCAGGTATGCCCATACATACACAGAAGGAAGGGGAGAGGATAGGAGTATCACACCGCACAGGGAGAGATAAACACAGCGGAAGACTTGACCATGCGATATGACAGGGTACACTGAAAGTGCAATTCACTCCACTCAATCCTCACAACCAGTCGTAAAGAAAAGCCGAGAAGATCACATCCAGGAAACAATGAAACGATGATAGTCCCAACCCAGTGTCGCACTGTTTATTAAACTCAAGAGTCTCGAATTGTCAGGATAACCCCCAGAACTACAGTGCGCTGCTCAGAATTGAGCAGCGCTTCACTCCCCAACCCTGAATAACCACTCGTAACACCCCTGAGCCCCTGAAACATCAAGTGCCACCACAGTACTGCCTCCAGAGGATAGCGCCACCCTGAAACAGGCCTCTGAGGCCAAGCGCCACTCAGAGGATGAAGAAGAAGACAAGCGCCACAGTATCTGATGATGACGAAGTGTCGGAAGACTTCCCGGGTGGAAGTCTGCAGCAGCGCCGCCACTCCTAACGAGATGAACTCTGAGGAAGAAGCTGCAGCTATGGCTGCAGCGCCACAACCCTGTGACCCCACTCCGGAGGCGTGTTTGCAGATATGACCCTCACGAATTTCCCCTACAGGTAGGTCTCTCGGTTAGCCCTCAGCCAAACAAAATTACGAATCTGTCCTACCTATGGTACAGCCTCGACAGAGAGAGGCTACAGGCGACCAGAAACAGCAAGTCATTGCACCTCCGCCTCCACAACCTTCGGCAGCCCTTCTCCTCCTCCGCCTCATCGATGTCCCTCCTCTTCTTCCCTGTCACCCCTCGTCTTCACGCTCCCACTGCCACCATAGCAATACCCCTCCCTCCTCTTCCTCCTCTACAGCCCTTCTCCGCGCTCTTCGTCCTCTTCTCACCGCTATTGCTGCACTCCTCCCCACATATTACTTCGAAGGCCGACAACACGCAGGGAGGTAGCTGCTCTCAGAGAGCGCAACAATAACACTGGGGGGAACAACAATGGGGGCGAGTCCACCCTGCCCTGGCAGCCAAGTGTAGGTGCCAACCTAATTTCGCCCCAGCAACTGTTGGCAGGGTCTGGCATAAGTCCGTTTGGCCAAAAATGGTCGAAAAATTGCAGCCCCATTTTTTGGGGGTGCTTACCATCTTCACCCAAATACAGTGTACGGTCATTATAGCTGTATTTGGGGCAAGTTCGAGTCTAAATGCAGCAAAAACGACGGTACGTTGTATTTGGGTGAAGACGGTGGGACCCAGAAATGGTCCTACGCGGTCCCCCTTTTTTTTTCAAATTCCCTTTGGGGGGCCCCTATCCAGACCTAGCAGCGCAGAGACTGACCCAAACAATCGAATCCGGTCCGTCTGGATCCCGGACCGGATGTCGGGGCGTTTACCATGAGTTTTTCTTTTTTCGCTTAGCTTTAATAACTTTCAAAATTTGAACCACCACTACCCCGAGCCTCTTTTTCCTGTGGTGGATTTTTTTAATTTTTATTTTTTGCCTCTGGTGGATTTCTGCTGTGCGGCAAGTCTAAAGCAAACTGGCATGGCACTTCTTCCTTTTTGGTTTTGCCAGCCAAAAAGGTCCGGGAGGCCAAGGGGACTCAGCGCCCAAAGGATATGCGGATGTAAACCAATTTGCTGCAAATAGAGGTAGTGGTGGTTTAAAGGCAACAGGTCCTAATCTCTTTCTTTCTTTTTTTTTTCTATTCAACTTACAGTCTTACAACAAAAAACACACCAAAGCTCTCCTTCCTCATTCTTTCGTAAGATACAACAATCCTTCCACATTGACAGCCCTGGGCATACTCACACTAGGACTTTCGAACTTATTTCAGGATGGGATTGCGACCACATGCACCCAGGTGCGGCTGTAAATACGGTCAGATACATTTAAGATAGTTCTAGTGTGAGTACGCCCTCAATGCGGATACAGGAATCTTATCCACTATTACCCAAACCCATTTATCTCGCTCGGTAACTTTTCGGGTAAGTCTGAACGCGATGATTTGGTACACCCGCACTACAACAGCATCGCACCCAGTTTACAGAGCGGAGGGCTGCAGCAGCTCTTCCTCACCTCTTCTTCTCATCCGCTCTGCAGCTCGTGCCACAGCATCCGATTCCCTATCCCCTGCCATGCTCTCCTGATCAGCCACTTCTCTCCTTAACTGCAACTCCCTACCCTCATTAGGTTCGCCAGTTTTCCGAGACAATCGTTTTCGCACCACCGATCGTTTGCTGATATTGCCCTCTCTTTCTTCAGCTACCCTGTACCCCTCCGGGTCTTTGCTCAGAAGCCCCCCATACCTCTCACGTCCTGAATCTGCAGGCTCTGCACCTCGGGCATGATCCGAATCCCTTCCTTCTTCTGTCGAGTGAGTAATATCAAGATCTCCACTTTCGCCAGCAACAGTAATGTCTCTCAACACCACTGCAGAACCCTTCACCATCTCGACACCCTCAACCGAGTTACTATCAACCATTGCCTCCGAGGGAGGCATGATCGGTAGCTGAAGCAGGGTCATCCCTTTGTTTGTGTTCGCCTCGCAAGGAGAAGGATGTGCAATCGGTAGACGAAGGGTTTGCTCGGCTTCCAGTTTGCTGCTGATGACTTGCTTGACACCCTCTGTCAACGGCGCCAAGGCCAAGAAACCATCTGTTGCAGTCAACGATTGCTGACCTCTGGTCTCTTGCTTCCGCTGAGTGCCCTCATCGCCTCCCTGGCTGCCGTTTCCTACGTCCTTTTCGTTCTTTCCCCTTTCCTCCTCCTTCTGAGAGAACTCCCCCTTGTCATGGATGTCCTCGCCAGTCGCTCCAGTCTTTTCCCGATCTGCTTCCGCTCTCTCTCCGAGCTTGCGCCCCATGATCACCTGCTTCACGTACGTGTTGATAATGCTAAGGGAATCTCCTCTACCGAGGAGGAGGTAGTCGCCTCTCAAAACACCTCGCATGATAAGCTCCGGACTACCATGCATACTCGCCTGCTCAGCATTTGCGCCCAGTGAATGTGTCTTGCCTCCTAGCTGCTGAGTTCTCAGAATGCCCTCCAGCTTCTGTGAAACCCATCGGTTCTGTAATCTAGTGGCCTCTGATGCTTTCTTCAGTCGATCGTCATACACGACGCCGCCGCCGACGGTACACGGGTTGGTCAACTCTTTCACGAAACCTCTGTCGAGTCCAGGATCGTGATTGATCGGCAGTACATTACTGCTGTCATCCTCCTTTACACTTGTACTCCCGATCCTCGTCTTTAGAGATAGCCTATCCCATTCCTCGACTGCGGCCGTGTCAGCAACCATTTCAACACGGGTTCTCTTCCTTAGAGACCCTTCTCTGCTAAGTGCCAGCCCCCCCCCCATACGGATATCAATCACATCTAATGGGGTTTCACACATTGGCCCCGGCCGGTTCAACTGCCCTGCACCAGGGTACTTTGCAATAATAGTTGACGTCACCCTAGCCCTGCCAGCAGACAGGTTATCTCCACTATACCGCGATTGCCTGTCACTCATGCCAACAGAACTCCCACCCCCGTGCTCCCCTTCCCGCTCCTTGTCCTCCACATCAATGCTCCGCAAGATCGTCGAGTGTGAGGCCGGAACGAGCTCCAAATTGCATGAGCCTGAAGCAGCCTCCCTCATGTCCTCATGGTCCTGAGTCCCACTACCGACTGTCCGATCCCGAACAGCACCATCTGATCTCCGGCAAACATCGTCGTCCCTTCCCAGCAAATCGGCATCCGATGCCATATGATCACCATATCCAGCCATCTGCTGCAGAACAATCGCGTCTGAGATTCTTCTGGATATGGTGGTAGCATCTACATCGGGTGCTTGAACCGCCTTATCTTCTTTGTTGCTTCTAATGTCACCATGCATCGAGTACTTCGTTCTGGGCATCCATGGGCTTCTCTCTGGTGAGTTTGGATTTTGCTTTGCTGCTCCTTCCGGGCTACCATCGTTGCTGAATACAAGGCTGCTCAGCCTTGTAGCTAACCGTCTTGCGATCTCCTTCAGTAACAGCATTCTCTCAGCGTCGTTGATTACGGTGTTTTGATCTTTGCTCTGCTGTTCCACCGTCTCCTGTCCTCTATCCAACAGTACGACTGGCTCACCAGTTGCGTCTCTGGCTCTGCTCATGGACATCAGATACAGATCATCTAGACGATCATTTTGCATTCCGCGTGAATGATGTACCGACTCGCGACTCTTTCCCGCACTCACTGGAGAAATAAGAGTACTGCGAGCTCCTCGGGTACGAGAGACTTCCTCAGAGGGTGCATCGGCCATCTCCGTAGCATCATGACGATCAGCATTCCCGTCCACCTTCATTATTTCTGGCGTCTCATAAACAAAGTCCTGCTTTTTCAAGCCTTTGAAAGAGTTCTTTTTCGTCCGTCTGTGCAGAGTGTCACGAGCTTGCCCATCCCTGCCAGCCTCTGTAGACTGATAATAACCTGTTCTCGGTTCCCGTTCCGGTCCCAAAAACCCATCTGCACCGCGATATCCAGGAATAGTACCTCTACCGTAACCTCCACCACCTCCCTCCTCCTCCTCCGCTTTCCGGTTGCTTGAAGCATCGTTGTTGACTTTTGTGACCACAGATGAAAGCTCTGCACCAAGCCGATAGTCTTGGCTTCCTCGCTGGGTGCGAAACATCTTCTTGCCGGGATCGTAATGAACCCCACCTTCTTCGTGGTCGCCTTGAACACTCCGCCGTCTCCCCTTCTTCCCATTTGAGGTGCTTCCACTCCTCCTCTTTCCAATTTTGGCACTCGCCTCTCCAGCACTCTTTGTGATTCTCTCTCCAGCATTCCTTGCGGTTTCTCCCTTTCTACTGCTCTTTTTTGCCGTGCCGCTCTTTTTCAGTCTCCTGTTTACCTCGATGATGTCCTCCTCCTTTCCCGTAATGCTCTTCTTTTTACCTTGGGTCTTGCGTCTCTTTGTCTTCACTTCCAAGGAGTGAGACACAGTCTTCTGCATTGTCATTTTGTGTCCTCCTCTGAGGGATGTCCTTATCCTCCACAGCTGCTCTGCAGGATGCATGCCCGCTAACGCTGATCTGGGCCTGGCAGGCACCGCCAATGCGTTGTCTTCCCACCCACTTGCCTCCCCCAGTGTTGAATTGACATCTCTTTCAGAAAAGAGGACCTGAAATGGCATTCGCTCACCGTATCTCCCCCTTCGCCCTCGGTCAAGAGACTCCGACTTCGCTGAGTTCCGGACCACTGTCGGTGAAAGTCCCAGCCCCCTTCCCGCCGCCAATTGCCACTGCTCCACCGGACCCTTCACCAGTGAGTTCTTCTGACTTTTGAAACTCTGGCTTTTCTCTGTCTTGGGCCCAGTACAGTTGCTGAAACTTAGGGGTCTCTGGGTTTTCACTTCTTTGGCTTGATCGAGCCCCCCCTAGATCGTTCAGTCAATCAAGTCAACCTTGCATACATCAGTTCATTGAACTCCTTGATTTTTTTTTTAAATCATTGTATATATATGTTACGATACTGGCCAATTTCGAATTATACATTCATCAGAAAGTACAATGCCGTCCAATTGCAAAAAGAAATGAATGAACTTGAGAGGAGAGAGAGGGAAAGAAGAAGAAGAAGAAGTAAGAAAGAAGAAGAAGTGTACATTCATCAGAAAGTACAATGCCGTCCAATTGCAAAAAGAAATGAATGAACTTGAGAGGAGAGAGAGGGAAAGAAGAAGAAGAAGAAGTAAGGGAGAAGAAGAAGATGATGTACACCGGCATAGACCAATGACAAGGCTCTTCTTCTTTGCCAACCAATCTCCTCCTCCGTATCTCCTCTCCTCTTATTCAAACAAGAAATAACAATAATAATGTTGAATGGCTGAACCAGAATCAATGTCCGAATCCCACTTCTACTGCAGGCACAACATGAGGTCCACCATAGCCATGGCCACCCTTCCTCTTCCTCTACATGCAGGCCGAGGCTATGGCGGAGCACTGAGGGCTCTACCCTCCTGTCCAAGAGACAACCCAAAGCAGCTATGTCGCTGCCCTTCTGTCTCAAGGTCAACACCAGACAGCTATGTCGCTGCCCACTCAACCGCCATGCCTGACTCTGTCCTGGGCTTCCTTGGTGCGGCACTACCCCAACTGGGGCCTTCCAGATGCAGCGCCTAACAAGCTGATGAAGATGGCGTCCACCATAGCCGATAAGTACCTCGCCACTCTCCTCCTTGGTCCCCTTCTCCCTCCTCCTCCTACCGGTAGAGCTCCACCATAGTCAAGGTGGAAGCTCCCGGCTTCTTCCTCCCAGCAGCGCTTAGTACCCAGCGCACAGCCAGCGCTCCAGCAGCGTGTCGCCAAACTTGCACACTGAAGAATGAGGCCGAGCTCTTCCCTCGGCCTCTTGATATAGCGGCCTGCTTGCCTCCTGGGCGGTGACTTCCAGGCCGCTTGGCCTCCCAAGCAACCGGTACCTCCTCCCTTTCGGAGGGAAACATCATTGCAGACTCTGATATTGCCCGTACAGGCTATAGACTCAGACTGGATGGACTGGTACCGGCCTAGATGGTACCGGCCTAGACCTAGCCTACCGCTACTGGGCCTCTAAAAATGCCAACTTTGTCTTCTTCTGCTCGGCCTCGAGTACCCGGCACATCTACTGCTACTGGGTGCGGTACCGGCCTACCTGCTACTTGAGTGTTTTTCCGCTGCTCTAAGCACCGCGGGCCCCTGGCTCCGCTACTCGAGTGTTTTCCCTGCTGCAACCCTCAATGCCACGGTCACAGGTAAGTACCGACCCTACGGGCCTGCCAAACAAGCAAGTACCCTTGCGGGTCACACACGCACTCATGCCGACAAGCACTCAGACAGGCACGCAAGTCAACAGGCACGCACACATACAGCCTTAGAAAACACAGCAGAATGCGGGAATCTCAACAAGGCATCCATTCCATCGGCAGAACTTCAGAAATCAGCAGTGTTCTCAGTCTGTGTTATGGCGGGTCATTATATATATATGCCATGACTTGCTGATTTCTGCTGCCGAGATTGTCTGCAAGGCTGTACACTAACTGGTAGGGTTAGTTTTGCAATTTTGTTTGGCTGAGGGCTAACCGAGAGATCCGCCTGTGTGGAAATTCGTGAGGGACAGATCTGTAATTTTCGGAAAATACAGACCTGGTACTAACCGAGTTCCTACAGCTACCCTAACTGCCTATAGCAGGCCCGGGCTACCCCTAGGACAGAGGCCATAAGTGGCCTATACTGCTATACGGTCCTATAGCTTATAGCCGGGTACGGTAGAGGCCGGTCAGTACGGTCCAGGTCTAGGCTAGTGTAGGAAGTCTATAAGTCCTGTAGGGGAATCCAGTAGGGACTTTTGGCTTTTCATTTTTCGCGTGCAGCATTGGTGGTCAACCAAGTTTTTCAGCGCTGAAGACCTACAGCGGCACCTGGAGGTTTCAGCAGGGTGAAGCAGCCATAGCCGCCTATCTGAGACAGCCATAGCTGGGGCTGTGCTCAGCGCATCTATCCCCAGGGGATATCTGCGTTCGGCAGAACTATCGGAGGGTCTTCACTGAGTACATGTGGGGTACTGCTGCTGCGGTAGCAGCTAGGCAGCCATAGCTGCCTTCATCATCGTCAGAGTGACTTATCGGCATTGGAGACTACTTCGCTGTTCATGATCTGCATCCGGGTGTATGGCGCTGGCCTCTGGGAGGCTGTTTCTGTGCAGCGCTAGGCTCTGAGAGTGTCGTAGTGAGTGGAGTGTGTGGTTCTTGAGTGGCGAGATACTGAGTTGAACTCTGTAACGATAATTGAGGTTAACTATGTTGAGTTGGCTCATCATCTGGGGTACTTTCCAATTGTGATCTTCGCAGTGTCATCCTGTGATTGGTTGTTGGGAGTTTATCAGAGAGAGAGAACACTGTGTGTATTCTCCCCATCTGTGCATGGTTGTTATTCCGCTGTTTATCTCTGGTCTGTGTGCAGGTGGACTCTGTCTCTTCCTCCCCTGTGTCTCATGCATGTATGGGCGTGTGTGAGTTTTTCTGTGTGTGAGTGGCAATCAAATTGTCAAACAACCAAGTTCATAACATATATCGTCACAAACAGAACTGTCCGGTAAACCGTAGGCAGAGAGAGAGAAGAGGACAACATACGAGGGGCTGTGACAAACTGTTTCGTCGGACTTTCACCGACTCATATATCGTCAATATATATATATATATATAGATAGATATATATATATATATATATAGATATATAGATATATATATCGTCACAAACAGAACTGCCCGGTAAACCGTAGGCAGAGAGAGAGAAGAGGACAACAAACGAGGGGCTGTGACAAACTGTTTCGTCGGAGTTTCACCGACTCATCAAGAGGCTGAACCCT